GGACAGAAACAAAACAGGCAAACCCAGGTTGAAGCCCAGCTACACTGCTTCCTGACTCTGTGACCTTCTGCAACTTAACTTGTTTCTCTTAGCCTCAGTTTCTTTATGTGTAAAGTAGAAGTAACACTTGTGCCCACCTGATTCCTCTTCTATGGATGAGGAATCAGACAGACCTGGGTCTGGATCCCGTCTCTACCACGACGTGATCTTGGGCAAGTTCCCCTACTTTTCTGAGCCTCGGGTCCCTTATACACAAATGGGGGGACAAAGAGTACCCACCTCTCAGGTTTTTGGATGGACACAATAAATGTGAACCTGTTCCTGCAATTAATCCAGCAGGATTATCCAGCCCAAGAGGGGATCACAACCAGCATCCCAGCCTATCTGCAAATGCAAAATCAATCCCAAAGGCATTTTTGGAAGGCCTGTTCTTTCGTTGCAGCACGCAGAGGGGTGTGAGAGTGAAGAGACCAAGTAGTGCCAGTGTCAGAACACAACACCTTTCTGCAAACAGGCACCAAATTTAAAGTACAAAAGTTCAGAGACCCACATATTGAAACAGAGGCTCGGGCGCCAGTGTGGCTCAGATGGTTGAGCGTCTGCCTTCGGCTCAGGTCATGATCCCAGGGTCCTGGGATCGAGTCCCACATCGGGCTCCCTGCTCAGCGGGGAGTCTACTTCTCCCTCTGACCCTCTGCCCTCTCATGCTCTCTCGCTCTCATTCTCTCTCTCAAATAAATAAATAAAATCTTAAAAAAAAAAATTGGGGGCGCCTGGGTGGCTTATTCGTTAAGCGACTGCCTTCGGCTCAGGTCATGATCCCAGGGTCCTAGGATCGAGTCCCACATCGGGCTCCCTGCTCCTTGGGAGCCTGCTTCTCCCTCTGCCTCTCTCTCTCTCTGTCTCTCATGAATAAATAAATAAAAATCTTTAAAAAAAAAAAAAAGAAAGAAACAGAGGCTCAATAGTCAGAAAAACCCTAATTATGCCTCACCTATTCCAAAAGGACAAAGGAATTCACAAGAAAAAAAGTACAAAAAATTGCAGACACCCAAGATCCCACCTCCCAGATTTAACAGATATTTACATTAGATTCCTTTTTTTTTTTCAATAAAACAGACATAGCTGAGGCCCTCCCCACCCCCTCTCTCTCCACTCCCTCTTTCCCCAAGCAATGGTTCCCCTGTGCAATTCCCACACATTTCTGACCTCTAACTGCAATTTATCCTTTTCTTATATACATATCCATGAGCAGTACACATAAATCTCCTTTGGTACTTTTTTAAATGTATAGAATCTTTTGCAACCCGCTTTTTTCCACTCAACAGGATGTCTGGAGATTTATTAAAGGACTGGGTAATCAAACTAGGTTTTCTTTCATATACTGGAATTGTGCACAACAGTAAAAATAAATGAACCAGGGCTATATGTAGCACCTCCGCTTTTATGCATATCCTTTCATGATATATTTCCAGCAATTTCATAATGTTCTTTAATACTGGCCTTTGCTTTCCCAACTAAACAGGTTCACTTGCCCCCAAAGAGCAGCCACAGAAAGGCTCAAGCTGTCCTGGTCACACAATTATTTACTAAGTGGCAGAGCTAGGATTCCACCCCAAGCCTGTCCAAAGCCCACACACCTATGACACAATGACAGGTCGGTCTCCTTTCTCCTTAATTTTTGCCTTCCTGCCCAGTTTTCTGGCTCTAAACAATTGCCCCTAGACCAGAACTCTACTTCCAGAGCTTCCACATACTTATTCCTGTGGAGGAAGCTGAAGCAAAACTGGCCTCAGACAAGTACTATGTTGGTCTAGGATATCTGCAAAATAAGCACCAATAGAACTACCCTTTTTGTGGGGGTGGAAGATCCTAAATGAGGGCAGCAGGGACCCCGAGAGGATGAGGCTTCCTCATCTCCAGGTACTCAGCTAAAGGAAGTGGGCAGTGATCTGGGCTCAAAGAGACTGAGAGGCACTGATCTTCCCGGGGAATTAACAGGCTCATTTACAAGATGCAGCAGCTGTTTTTCCAGTTACCACTGGAATCATTACTTTTGACTCTCATCTGCAATGGCAAAAACAGCAACAAAAAATATATATCCTGTAGCCTGGGATAAGCAGGATAAGCAGTTCCCTTATCAACCCTGCTCTGAGCCCAAGACAATCCCAAGGTCTGCTCTGGCCTTCCAAGGAGACAACTTCAGCCAGGGCCCAAGGGTGACTTGTTCTATCTGCTTCATCTCAGGCCTGAAGGGATACTTTTTCCTGCTGGATCAAAGAGGGGAAATTGGCAGTGACAGTAAACGGTTATTGAAACAGCAACAAATCCCCCCTCCAGCTGGAACCCTACCTGCCATAACATCAGACATCAGCGCTCATTAACTCACTGCATGACACTCGGCGCGATTCACACTTTTCTGAGCATCACTTCTACGCTTTGTAAACTGCACTTCATAATCTCGAGGTCTCTCTCAGAGCCACAAAGGTCTTTTGAGGAAGGCCATCCCCTCAGTGGACAGGGGGTCACTTGGGGTGGAAAGATGGACTTAGGGCGCCTGGGTGGCTCAGTTGGTTAAGCGACTGCCTTCGGCTCAGGTCATGATCCTGGAGTCCCTGGATCGAGTCCCGCATCGGGCTCCCTGCTCGGCGGGGAGTCTGCTTCTCCCTCTGACCCTCCTCCCTCTCATGCTCTCTGTCTCTCATTCTCTCTGTCTCAAATAAATAAATAAAATCTTAAAAAAAAGAAAGATGGACTTAGTCCTGAATAGAAATATATATATATTTTTTTTTTTTAAGATTTTATTTATTTATTTAATAGAGACAGCGAGAGAGGGAACACAAGCAGGGGGAGTGGGAGAGGGAGAAGCAGGCTTCCCGCAGAGCAGGGAGCCCGATGCGGGGCTCGATCCCAGGACCCTGGGATCATGACCTGAGCCGAAGGCAGATGCTTAACGACTGAGCCACCCAGGAACCCAGAAATATATTCTTTGATGTAGATCATTGAAACCTTTACTCAAACTTTGTTAAATGTGAGTGAAAGCATCCCTGCTATTTTTATAGATCTGCAACAAACACTTGAAGTAAAACTAATCTGCTTGCTGTGAAACTGGGCCGCAAGACAAGGGCTCCTCTCACACAGAAACTGTAGCTATCACCTCAGACAGTACTTGGCAAATGTTAGCAAAGAATAATAGACGACACAGCAAAATACCTAATTTTTTTCCTTCAAGGTCACTTTGGGGTTTTTGTTTGTTTAATACATTTTCTTTTTTTTTTTAAGATTCTATACATTTATTCATTTATTTTTGAGAGAGGTAAGGGAGCACGCGTGCATGCTCATGGGTGGAGGGGAGCAAAGGGAGAGGGACAAGCAGACTCCACGCTGAGCACGGAGCCAGATGCAGGGGGCCTATCCCAAGACCCCAAGATCATGACCCGAGCCAAAACCAAGAGTCAGACACCCAACCGAATGAATCACCCAGGTGCCCCTCCCAGGTCACTTTGAACAGTGGGTTTGAAGCTCCCCTTTCCTTCTGGGAGGGAAAAGACTTCAGTAAGATAGAACATGTTCTCCAGTCCAAACCATGGGCCTCACGCTGTACCCAGCTTCTGGAAGAAAAGTGCTCATGTCAAGGGTCCTCAGAGGCCTACTTTACCTGACTGCTAAGTAAGATAGCTAAAACTACATTTTGCAAGATGCCACAAGGATCTTCCATCCTGCATCTTTTGTACTGTGGCTTTTTCCCCAGGATTGTAACAGGGTTTGAGAGGGAAAACTAGATTAGAACTTTATTCTATAGGGGCGCCTGGGTGGCTCAGTTGTTTAAGCGACTGCCTTTGGCTCAGGTCATGATCCCGGGGTCCTGGGATCGAGCCCCACATTGGGCTCCCTGCTCTGCGGGAAGCCTGCTTCTCCCTCTCCCACTCCCCCTGCTTGTGTTCCCTCTCTCGCTGTCTCTATTAAATAAATAAATAAAATCTTTAAAAAAAAAAAAAAGAACTTTATTCTATAATCATAGAGTTGAATGGGGCATCAGAGATTGGATCCTATCTCCTCACCCCTGGTACTATGTCAAAAATGAGTGAGGACTTCTGGGGTAAAGCTTTCAAAGATTCTGGGTAAATTACCAAAAATAATAATTATAAGAGAGACAAACACAGGTAGTGGTATTCAACTTGTAAACAAAAACAAGGAATCTCTTTCACTTATATGTGAGGTACCTAATGTGGTCAACTTCATAGCGATAGAAAGCAGTTTGGTGTGAACGCCTGGGTGGCTCAGTCGGTTAAGGTTCCAACTCCTGATCTCAGCTCAGGTCTTGATCTCAGGGTCATGAGTTCAAGCCCTGCATTGGGCTCCACGCTGAGTGTGGAACCTACTCAAAAAAAGAGAGAGAAAGAAAAAGAAAGCAGTATGGCGTTGCAAGAGGCTGAGCAGAATGGGGAACAGGGAGTTACTGTTTAATTGGTACAAAGTTTCAGTTTTGCAAAATCAAAAGGAAAGAGTTCTGGAGGTGGATGGTGGTGATGGTTGCACAATGTGAATGTACTTAATGCCACTGAACTGGACACTTACACTTACAATGGTTAGATGGTAAATTTTATGTTATGTGTATTTTGCCAGTTTCTTAAACTGAGGAGAGAAAAAAAGATCTCTCTGCTAGTTTTCATTTGGGGACCAGCATGGCCTAGGAGCTGGCAACTAAGACTCTGGAGTCCTGAGTTCCTCTCTCTGCTCTGCATTCATCATCTGGAGGCCTTTGGGCAAGTCATCTGACATCTCTGAGACTCTCTCTTCATCTATAAAAATGGGAATAATAGCCTCCGATCTCAGAGGCCTATGAGGACAACAAAATAAAGTAACAGAATCTCACAGCACAAGAATAATCACATGCTAAATTATTATTATGCGTTTAAATAATAAATTAGTTTATTACTTAATGTTACTTAAAAGTCAGTAATGATCAAATAATTAAATTATTAATATTATATTATCAGCTTTTCGCTAGGCGCATCAGAAGACTTCGTTTTAACGGGAAAAGGAGCCCAAGTTAGGAGTCAGAAGACCTGGGCTTCGAATGGCTGTGCCCGTGAGATTTCTCTCTGGTGACACGGAGGAATTGACTGAGATGATCTCTTAGATTATCAAAGAGCAAGATCAGCTTTGCTGCTCGGCGGGAGCCAGCCCTGGAACTGCACCTCCCTCACCGCCTAAGCTTCTCGGGGAACCCGGTCGAGGAAAGGGGTCCAAAGGTCATGCGCAAGAAGGCTGACTGCAAATCCCCTTCCTAAACCTGAGGAGTCGGCATGGTGAAAGCTTGTACAAGACACCCACGAATCGGGAGCAAGCGTCCCGTATCTTTGTTCTTCCCCTGCCAAGTCTGTCCCAGCACGCTGGGGGAGCTACAAGGAACCTGCCAGCTTCCCAGACCCTGCAGAGACCCCAAGAAAAGGCAACCCCAAAACAGCCTGGGTTGCAGAATTATAAATACTCTTTGCACATGCTCATTGCAATTTACGAGTGGCCGCGGGGCACAACGCGCGCCCACTGCGCCTGCGCGTCCCGGTCGCCCTTTGGGGCGCAGGAGCAGAAAGGTGGGTCCCGTGGTCCCGCGAAGAAAAACGAACGAGTCTGCGGCGGCAGCTCAGTGCGGGTTTTCTCGTTCCTTACCTCATAATGCTTCATGGTTCCCTCAAACGGCCCCTACTGCGCTCCTGCCGCTGTCTACGGGCGCGCGACCAGGAACAGAACTCCTCACGCGCTGGCGATGGCCGCGCGAGACTAACCTCGCTTCCGCTTCGGCCCCGCCCCTCCCTGCCGCGCGCGCCCCTACAGCCAATCAGCGCGCGGGGCGCTCACCTCCGACCCCGCCCCGCGAGGCTGGTCTTGAGCAAGGACTAGCCGCTCTCGCCATGAGGCTGGCCAATCAGCTTGCGGAACACACCGAGGGGGAGGAGCGCAGGCCAGACGGGACTCGCAGAAAAGTGCTTGGCCACCCACCAATCAAAATGAGGCCTCGGAGCCGCGCGCCCCTTCCCCGCCCCTTGGTGGCGTCGCTGTGGAAACCAAGGGAAGCGACGGTTACCTTACAGCTGGGGGCGGAAGCAAAAAGTTGAGTGACAGGGAGGGCAGCATCCGCATGGCGGGAGGCGCGACTGTGTGAATTCCCAGGTGGGCAGCCCCCTGGGTAATGGGGAGCAACCTGAAAGGGCTTGGTGCTGGGGGCGTGTGCTGGGAAGCCTGGATGGAGAGGCCTTCCGGCGCGGGGACCCTCATCTGTCATGAATGGGAGGGAAAGAAAGGGGAAATGACGAAAAGCCCTCGGGGAATCCCCCAGCTTACAACCTGAGTCCTGGCCCCATTCTGGGGGATGCAAGCCCCGCCCCGTAGGCCGGGGGCGGACACTTGTCTACCTGTGCTGTCTAGTATGGTCATCACTGGCCAGAGGTGGCTAGTGAGCCCTTGAAATGTGGCTGGTGCAAATTGAGATGTGCTGTAAATGTAAAACACGCACCGATTTAAAAGACTTCCTATGAAAAGGAGACTGTAAAAAAAAATCTCATTAATAACCTTTTATGTTAATTATAAGTTGAAATGATAATATTTTAGATATATTGGATCAACACAGATTATTACAATTAAGTTCCCCTGTTTCTTTTTACTTTTTTAAATGCCTGTTAGAACATTTAAAATCAGGTTGCCTGGGTGGCTCAGTCGGTTAAGCATCTTCCTTGAGCTCAGGTCATGATCTTGAGGTCCTGGAATCAAGCCCCATCTGCTTCTCTCTCTCCCTCTGTGCCCTCTCCCTCTATCTCTCACATAAATAAATAAAATCTTAAAAAAAAAAAATTTTAAATCACAGAACTGGCTTGCATTTGTGGTTGGCAGTTATGCTTTACTGGACACTGCTGGTCTGGGGTCATGCCATGCTTTTGCTCCTTTGATTATTTGTCATGAGCAGGCTGGGGAAGTTGGATGCCAACACACACACACACACACACACACACACACACAGCCTCCTGCACACTCTCAAGATTTCAGGACAAGTTAAGTAGCACCTGGCACCCTCCCTCACCTTCTTTCCTTTCTCATTCCAGACCCTGCCCCTGAGCCTTCATCAACTGTGGAACCCTCTGGAACTTAGAGGCTGGACATCAGAGACGTGGTGAGAAGTCCTCAAAGGTAAATCACTGATTCACAGAGGAGCAGGGTGGGGCAAGGTGAGTCAGTGCTTAGCACTTAGTCATCCAGGTTCAGTTCTGGAAACCTCTAAAGCTACAACTTTTGGGGACCTGTGGCTGTGGTCTTCAGAAAGTCACTATCTTTTTCACCAGGCCTAGCTGGGCAAAAGAGATGAAAACATGAAAGTGTTTTATAATTGTGCTTCAAAACACAGATCTTGGGGCGCCTGGGTGGCTCAGTTGGTTAAGCGACTGACTTCGGCTCCGGTCATGATCCCAGGGTCCTGGGATCGAGCCCCACATCGGGCTCCCTGCTCAGCCTGCTTCTCCCTTTCCCTCTACCTGCCGCTCTGCCTACTTATGCTATCTCTCTGTCAAATAAATAAATTTTAAAAAAATTTATTCTGAAAACACAGATCTTTTTTCTGTTGGCAGTCATAGGGTTGAGATCCTTTGTGTCCTGACAGGCTTCACTCCCTGCCCTCATTGAGGGGGACAGGAGGAGTAATCACTTAGAAACCAAAAGTTAAAATCTTACCAGTTGACTTACCTGAGACATCTAACTGTGTAGCGCTGAGGCGCACAGTTGAACCCCTAAAGTTCAGCCAAGTTTTGCTACTTTGCCCTGTCAATTTCCAGCTTCTCTAATGTGGGCTGGGTTGGTGTGTCTTCTGTATTGCTGCATCCCAACTAGGTAAGGTGTGCGGGGTCCAAACAGATGTCTTTTGGGGCAGAGTCCACATACATTCCTACAGACTCAGAACATTCTGGAATTTACCCTTCAAGACTGTTTTCCTGAGCCCCACGCTCACTCACTAGGCACCAAATCATTTTGTGAACCTACTCTGCTGTGCGCCGACAAGGGCATACAAATAATTTCCACCCTCTCCTCACCCACAAGAAGCTCATAGAAAGGCAGGATCCAGCTTAGAAAGGACAATTCCTCTTTGTTTTTGATGGATATTGCAGGTGCAAGGACTCCTTATTGGCCTCATCTGGCTTCCAGTAACCAGGCTGTCAGCAGAAATAATATCCACCTTCAGAATGAAGACTGGCCACTTTGTTCAAACCATTCTTGAGTCTGGCTCCTTTCACTAACATAATGCACTATGCCTGTCAGTTAGGGACAGCTAGACCCTGCTTGTGTCCTCAGCACCCCCAGCACAGTGGCTAATTCATAACAGTCACAACTAGTTTGCTGAGCCAACTGTAATAAGCCCCTTACAGCAATTTCCAAAGGGGAAATTCCAGAAAGGTCTGGTGCTGTGGCAGTGCCGAAGGATAAGCAGGGGGCTCCTTGGATCTCAGATTTGGGGGAACCCATGGTCATTTGAATGTTGAAGTTCTGGTGTGTCTGTCTCATAAGTGCCTTTTGTATTTCCCAGGTGCAGGTAAGGTAGGATCTTGATTTCTCTGGGAACCTGGCTTGGCTTGTTTTGGGGTATGTGATGGAGCTGGTTCAAGCTGTGTGAGAGAAGGTGAAGCCTAGAGTGGACAAGCCAGGGCTGGTTAGCAACTTTCCACTGTGTCAGGAACCCCAGAGAGAGGCTAACCAAGTCCTACCCTGTCTTGCCTTTTTTATTTGTTTTTAAGTCCATAGAATTTTCTTTTTATTGAGCTATAATTTACATACAGTAAAATTTACCTTTTTTAGTGTACAGCTCTGAATATATACAGTTGTGTAACTAACATCACAGTTCAGATATGGAACATTTCCACCATCCCCCCAAATTCCCCTGTCTCCCTTTGTAGCACATCCCAGCCCAGGGCAACCAGTGATGTGCTTTCTGCCTAAATACTTTTACCTTTTCCAGAATGCCTTATAAAATGGAATCACAAGAGTAGGACTCAGACAGCCTTTTGAGTCTGGCTCCTTTCACTAACATAATGCATTTGAGGTTCATCTGCATTGTTTTCTGTACCAGTAGCTCAGTCCTTTCTTATGGCTGAATATATTCCATCATGTGGCTAGACCACAGTTTGTTTATCCATTCTCCCACTGAAGAACATTTAGGGTTTTTTTTTTGTTTGTTTGTTTTTTAAAGATTTTATTTATTTATTTGAGAGAGAGAATGAGATAGAGAGCATGAGAGGGGGGAGGGTCAGAGAGAGAGGCAGACTCCCTGCTGAGCAGGGAGCCCGATGTGGGACTCGATCCTGGGACTCCAGGATCATGACCTGAGCCGAAGGCAGTCGCTTAACCAACTGAGCCACCCAGGCGCCCCGAACATTTAGGTTTTAATGGCTGTTGATAATTACAAATCAAGCTTTGATAAACATCGCTCATGGGCTTTTATGTGAACATAGGTTTTTTTGGTTGTTGTTTTTTTTTTTTGAGAGAGTCACTCTTTTTTTTTAAATTTTATTTTATTATGTTAATCACCATACATTACATCATTAGTTTTTGATATAGTGTTCCATGATTCATTGTTTGCATATAACACCCAGTGCTCCATGCAGAACGTGCCCTCTTTAATACCCATCACCAGGCTAACCCATCCCCCTACCCCCCTTCCCTCTAGAACCTCAGTTTGTTCCTCAGAGTCCATGGTCTCTCATGGTAGGTTTTTATTTCACATGGTATTCCACCAGGGGTGGGATTGTTGGTTCATATGGCTATAGTGCTTTTGAAGGTCTTTTTGATGAAGAGAAGCAGAGTTGAAAACTCATTTTCTAAAAAGGAAGGCTTTATCATCATCTGAATCACACTGTATGTGAGCTGAGTGCTTACCGTAAACACTGAGTGTGCTAAACACTTTACACTTCAGCATTTTGCTCACTGGGTGACCTCAGGCAAGTCACCATGACCTCTCAGAACCTCGGTTTTCCTACCTGCAAAATGCAGGTAACACTAGGCCAACCCCATAGGATTATTGCAAAGATTAAATGAATTAATACATATGGAGCACTTGGAGCCAGCTTGGCACATAGTAGGGCCGTGTCAGTGTCAGCTGTTATTATAATGTTCATTTCCTGGCCCCTCTCAATTTCATCCCCATAGCAACCCTGGGAGTTAAGATCTATTCTAATCTCCATTTTATGGAGCACACACCTAATGCTCCAAGAGATCAAGCAAGTTGTGCAAGATCACACAGGCAGTAAATAAGTAAATAGTGGGTCCCAGATTTCAGCTGAGGCTGACTGACTCCAGACTCACCTCCTTTGTTCCTATATCAGCCCGGTTTCTCCTAAAGAAACGGAACTGGGATATATGTGTTTGTGAATGTGTGTGTGTGTGAATTAAAAGACGTATTTCAAGGCATTGGCTTACATGATTGTGGGTGCTAGCAGGGCAAGTCTAAAATCTGCAGGGCAGATCAGCAGGCTAGAAACTCTTGGCCAGGAGCTGACACTTCTTCCTCAGGGAAACCTCAGTATTATTTGCTTTCAAAGCCTTTCCACTGATTGGATGAGACCCATCCCCATTATCCAGGATCATCTCCTGTACTTAAGTCAACTGATTATAGACATTAACTTAACCACATCTACAAAATACTTTCACAACAACACTTAGATTAGTGGGTTTTTTGTTTTTGGTTTTTTTTTTTTAAGATTTTATTTATTTATTTGACAGAGAGAGAGACAGTGAGAGCAGGAACACAAGCAGGGGGAGTAGTAGAGGGAGAAGCAGGCTTCCCGCCGAGCAGGGAGCCCGATGCGGGGCTCAATCCCAGAACCCCGGGATCATGACCTGAGCCGAAGGCAGCCGCTTAACGACTGAGCCACCCAGGCACCCCTAGATTAGTGTTTAATTGAACATCTGGGTACTATAGCCCAGCCAAACTGATGCATAAAATTAACCATCTCATCTTCTCTGAGTTGAGAGCTCAAGGTCTGTGGAGGCCACTTTTCCAGTAACATACTGAAGTGTCCGGTGAGTGTCCAGGACAAAAAATCCTAAGGAGAGGTGTTGGGGTTATTTTGTGTATTTTGGGGAGCATACAAAAATTCCTGAACATGACTCAGGCTTACTCAAGGAAGGGGGAGTCCCCAGCCCTAAGTTTGCCTCCAAATACAAAGACACACAAAGCCTTGTGAAGACCTTTGGAGGTCTTCACATTTGTAACTCTAAATTAAATTTATACTATGAAATACTAGCATGTAACCATGAGGAAGTTCACAAGTGCTGGGTTTTCCTTCATGATGAGAACTCTCCTGCTATTTATTTATGTAACTTATTTTTTTATTTATGTAACTTTTTAAAATTTGAATTATTTCTCCCTATGACGGTTCAGGACCCCTGCTGTACTATACTGATGAATGCCCAGCCCAGACCCATCATCCTCCCAGGTTGGCCAGTGTATGCACTAATCCAGTCCTTACTGACATGGTTACCTTTGGTGGGGTCAGTGAGTGGCCAAGGATGGCAAGCATCCCCCAACTGGAAAGCAGGGGAAAGCCATGGTCTTCTTTCTCAGAAGTCTCAGCTTACACCAGGGCGGCAGTCATCAGAAGCATTTTGCTGTGGTGCTGCCAGAAAGGGGGTGGCTCAGCAGCCCATCATTCAGCAAGATGGTTAGTCACCCCTTTGATAGTACTTCCTCTGTGCCAGGTCTGTCCTATGCATTTTACAAATGTTGACTCACAAGGCAGGTACAACTACCACCCCCATTGTACAGATGAGGGAACTGAGGCCCCAGATGGTTCAGTAACCAGCCCAAGGTCATGCAGCCAGGAAGTGCTGAAACTGGGAATGAAACCTGCTGCCTGGCCCAGAGCCAGCGTCACACCACCCTGCCCTCCCAAGTAGGTCTTCCAGGAACCTCCCACCTCAACCACCACCACTACCTACCCCTTCTTTCCTATGGCCTTCTCAGGTGGTACCCCTTTCTGAGGCTCCTTTCCCCATCAGCCCTTTGACCACAGGCACCCCAGACTCTCAGAACCAAAGGGGATCATAGACCCTCAGAGGTGTATGACACATCCATGTCCCCCCAAATCATAAATGTAGTGGGGATAAAAATGAAGCAGGTGCATTAAAAACAGGCAGGAATACTTATGAAGTGTCCACTGTGACTGGGTGCCAAATACTGGCAACTGCAGGTTGGGAGGGAGGTGTTTTAGCATGAAGACCAAAGCACAGGATAATTTCAGATTTGACAGGTGGTATTGAGAAAATGGTAAAGTGAAAGGCATGAGGAGCCTTTTTCCCCGGAGAAATCACTCCGGGGAGGTGAGCTTTGGTCCCGGGGCCTCACCTTGCTTTATAGGAACCTGTAAGGTGAGGACAGGGACAGTCCTGGGGCTCCTAATTTCATTCTCCCCATAGCCAAGAAAAGAGGGCGGGTGGGTATTTTTATTGCCTTGTTACAGAAGTCGGGGTAGGGGGGTACCTAGGGCAAGGCAAGGTTAGCCACCTTGCTCAGAATCACCCGGGGGGGGGGGAGGCCGTGAGAAGCGGGCGATTGGTTCTACCGTCACCTGGGGAAGGGCGGGGCAGCCTCGAGGGGCGGGGCCGAATTCAGCCCCGCCCCCTCCCGAGCGGTGTGTCGTAACCTATTGACCCAGGCTGGGGACAGCACACGCGGCCGGCGGGGGTCAGCGAAGGCAGTGAAAGAAGGTCGTGATTGGCTCCCCATAAGGTGGGCGGGGCCTTCGTCGCTCGGTGCGCGCGCCGCGGGGAGGCGTTGCCGAAGGCGGAGTGGGAAGGGGCATGGGCCGCGCGCGGGCGGCCGTTGGCGGCGCAGCCCCGCCCCGGATGTCGCGCGTCGCGGACTGGGAGGCAGCGATTGGTCGGAGCGGCGCGGGGGGCGGGGCGGAAGGTTCTGGAGGGGGCTGGCGGGCTCTGGAAGCTTCCGCCGGACGGGTATATAGAGTCCGGGACGGGGCGGCGGCGAAGCCGGGGTGCGGCGACAGCTGGGTGGTGGGCCGCAGGCGGGGGCTATGGGCAAGGACTATTACCAGACGCTGGGCCTGGCCCGCGGCGCGTCGGACGAGGAAATCAAGCGGGCTTACCGCCGCCAGGCGCTGCGCTACCACCCGGACAAGAACAAGGAGCCCGGCGCCGAGGAGAAGTTCAAGGAGATCGCCGAGGCCTACGACGTGCTCAGCGACCCGCGCAAGCGCGAGATCTTTGACCGCTACGGGGAAGAAGGTGCGTGCGCGCGCGGCTAGGGGCGCGCCCTCGCCGTTTGACAGGAGGAGAAACCCAGGCCCCGCGGCCGGGCTGTGGCATCCCCGGGGGACGCCCCGGGCCCGGTGGGCGAGCGGCCCCCGCCCTCCGGCCACGCGGGCCTCCGCCCTCGGATTGGCGGCCTCCCGATGGGAGGAGGAGTCCTGGCCGCGCTGCTTGCCCAGAAGCTTCTAGCATGTCTGCGGTTGCCCCTCCCTAGGCGCCTCCACCCACGTCCCCGAGCGGTCCCGGGGGTGCGGGTGCGGACGGGGGGAGGACCGAAGCTGAGCCGGGCCCGTGGCACCGCGGCCCCGGCAGTCCGGGACTCACCTGAGCCGAGGTGGCAGGCCTGGCATCCAGGGGCGCAGGGTGGGGCTTCTGGCTGCGCGTCGGGCTCGACCTGCGAGCGGCGAGCCTGCGGATGAGCGCGCGGATTAGCGCCGACCTCGCTCCGGGGCCCCTGCGAGGGCGGAGTGAGGTAATCCCCGTAAAGTGCTTACCTAACCTGGTGCCAGGCACGTAGATGGCAGCCAGCACACGAGCGCAGTCCAGGTGCGGGGAGCCGTGGCACCCGCCTCTGCCCGGCCTCCTCGGCGCAGGCCTCTCGGGCCGAGAGAAGGAAGCTGTCTTGTTGTCCACTTGCCCGTGGATGACTCAGACTGGTTTCTGGGCTGAGTCTTAAGAAATAAAGTGGCTTTTTATGTAAGGATGGTGGCAATTAGTGCCAGGGTGTGAGAATTTGAAAAGCTGCGTTTATCGTTTTGCTTTCATTTCTGCTCCTCACGCATTCTTAGCTCTTGAGTATTTCTAAGAGTAAACACTTACTGAGCACTGATCCTGGAGTGCCTTTTTTATCTGATCTTTTTTTTTTTTTTTACGATTTTTTTATTATTTGACAGAGAGATAGAGAGCACAAGTAGGCAAAGAAGCAGGCAGATGGAGAGGGAGAAGCAGGCTCCCCGCAGAGCAGGGAGCCCGATGCGGGACTCGATCCCAGGACCCTGGGATCATGACCTGAGCCGAAGGCAGCCGCCCAACCGACTGAGCCACCCAGGCGCCCCTCATCTGATCTCTTAATGAATTTTTTGTAAGTTTTCATCTCTTTGTGGGGAGGATAGGTCAGTCAAGAAGTGGAAATTCCGTGGCCTCTGCAGGGAGCCCTTGAGCCCCTTGCCACTGTCCTGGCACACTGAAGTACCTGGAGGGGGCGATTGGGAGTCGGACTCTGGCTTAGGGTTCTTCTTTACTCTTCCTGACAGGCTAAAAAAAAATTCCACCCCCCACCCTTCATGGTTCTCAAGTTTTTTTCCCTTAGTGAAAGCTCCTCGATGGGGCACCTGTTGGTTAAGCGACTGCCTTTGGCTCAGGTTATGATCCTGGAGTCCCAGGATTGAGTCCTGTATTGGGCTCCCTGCTCAGCGGGGAGTTTGCTTCTCCCTCTGACCCTTTCCCCTCTCATGCACACATGCTCTCTCTCTCATTCTCATTTTCTCTCTCTCAAATAAATAAAAGTTTAAAAAAAATTTTTTTTTAGAAAGCTTCTCGAGAGAGGAAAGAGAGAAGCTCACCACCAACCATCTGATTTCTTCTGATTTTGCCTTTCAGGTCTAAAGGGTGGTGGCCACAGTGTTGGGAGCAGTGGTGGTGCTAACGGTACCTCTTTCAGCTACACATTCCATGGAGACCCTCATGCCATGTTTGCAGAGTTCTTCGGTGGCCGAAATCCCTTTGACACCTTTTTTGGGCAGCGGAATGGGGAGGAAGGCATGGACATTGATGACGCGTTCTCTGGCTTCCCCATGGGCATGGGTGGCTTCACCAACGTGCAGTTTGGCCGTTCCCGTCCAGCCCAAGAGCCCACCCGAAAGAAGCAAGATCCCCCCGTCACCCACGACCTTAGGGTCTCGCTTGAAGAGATCTATAGCGGCTGTACCAAGAAGATGAAAATCTCCCATAAGCGGCTGAACCCCGATGGAAAGAGCATTCGCAATGAAGACAAGATCTTGACCATCGAAGTGAAGCGGGGGTGGAAAGAAGGGACGAAAATCACCTTCCCCAAGGAAGGCGACCAGACCTCCAACAACATTCCAGCTGACATTGTCTTTGTTTTAAAGGACAAGCCACACAATATCTTTAAGAGAGATGGTTCTGATGTCATTTACCCAGCCAGGATCAGCCTTCGGGAGGTAGGATACTAATAAGTAGAGTACTGTGTGTGGAGGGAGATGGTTGGTTTTTGAAGTTGTTAGGTATTTGGTTGACAGGTATGTCTGAGCACTTTGGAGCCAGGCTTGGGAGGATACAGCAAAAACAAGACTGACCCGGGCTCTGTTTTCCCAGAGCTTTCCAGATCTGGGGGCAAGGTCTTAGCTACAGGGGCCTGATGGTGCTTCCCGTACATCAAAAAGCTTCTGGGCAGGAGTTGAGCATCCTAAGCTGCCTTCCATCTAACGTTCTTTCTTTGCTCTCTAAGGCTCTGTGTGGCTGCACAGTGAACGTACCCACTCTGGACGGCAGGACCATACCTGTTGTGTTCAAAGATGTCATCAGGCCTGGCATGCGGCGAAAAGTTCCTGGAGAAGGCCTCCCCCTCCCCAAAACGCCCGAGAAACGCGGGGACCTCGTTATTGAGTTCGAAGTAATCTTCCCTGAAAGGATTCCCCAGACGTCAAAAACCGTACTTGAGCAAGTTCTTCCAATATAGTCACCTGTGTTTCCCAAGGACTGACCAGGGACCTTTCCAGAGCTCAAGGATTTCCGGACCGTTCCACCAGTTGTGGACCCGTGAGAGGGCGGGAGGGCCCAGGGAGGGCTTTCGTACTGCTGAATGTTTTCCAGAGAATATATTACAATCTTTCAAAGTCGTGCACTAGACTTAAGTGGTTTTTCGAGCGATAGGGCGGCAGGTGGTGGGGACAGCAGGAGAAGGCATTCCAGTCTGTCACACTGGTTCCTGCAGCCCTCCCGGGATGGGCCCACACCCTCCTCCAGGCCCTGCCCATGGGCGAGAGAGAGGCAGACCCACAGCTGGACTTGATGCGTCTGTAGTCCCTTGACTTGTGGCTGTTAGGTGGTGTCAACCTGCCGTCTTGGTTACCAGACCCTGTACACGCCTCAGTTTCTGTTGTGTGATCGGTTCGTGTTTTATTCTGTAAAATAGTCTCCCACGTCTTGCTCTTCCCCTGAAGAATCCTATTTTCTCTTTTTGCCATCTCAAATTGAGAACCAACTTAGATTGTTTTTGCAAAACTGCCCGGCCGGCGCCCACAAGCAATACCTCTTGTTCCAGCAAGACCAAGGGAGCCAGCCTTATGTGAATGAGTTGCATAGACACTTCTCCCTGGAGGGTCAGGGGCCCTGGACAGAGCAGGGGACCTTCTCGACCCCTGACTCTGAGGCCGAGTGCACTCACTTATGGGTCACACTTTTTATTTTTTATTTTTCTTTTATCTGTAAGGCAATTTTTTGGCACACCTGGGGCTTACAGGTGGCCCAGGTGATTTTTCATTTAATGAACTCTGGACTCTTTCAAAAGGATCTGATCCTTTTGAATTTTGCACAGCTCTAGATATAATCCCTTTTGATAAAAGGGTCTTTGCTTCTGATTGCAGGAGCACTGTGGAACGTCTGTAAATATGTTTTTATAATTCTGTGTATTGTTGGTGTGTCCTCAAAGGAAACCAGTCCACGGCAGCTGCTGCTCTCTGTACAGGGCCACGATGGAATTCAGAAGGAACCTTGGGAGTTGGGAGGGGGGCCGGGTTGGAACAAGTGTCTGTTCCCTGCAGGCCAGTCTGGTGCTCAGACCTTCAGACTCATTGTAAGTTGCCACTGCCAACACGAGACCAAAGCGTGTGACTTGTCAATGTGCAGCACGACAGCATTAAAGACTGATGCTAAACCTCAGGGGAGCGGTCCTGCGACTCTGTTTGAGGGTTTTGCTGACGGGCTGGTGCGGTGGCTGGGCGTCCCTCCAGAGGCAGGCAGGGTGGAAGGGAAGGGCCGGGGAAGGAGAGGGTGGGTGGGCGCGGAGGCAGGAGTCCTCTGCAAGGGAGAGATAAGTCTCCCTTCCTGGGCTGCATGCGGAGTAGAGAACGTCATCCCATCTGGACTCGATCCAGGCACCCAAAGAGCCCTGTGGATTTAAGAACTGGTTTTACGAAGGTTGGGCCGGAGTTAATTCCCTTCCCCATCTTCCAGGGCCCGGTTGCTGGGGCCCAGGGGAGGTGCGTGGTCTGCCCTTATGATCCCCCTCCACTCCTTTCTTGCTAGAGCAGGCTGGGTGTCAGGCAGGCCCCGGCCAAACCAGACGAATTCCAGCCCAGGGCTGACTCCGCCCTGGAGAAGACCCATTTCCGGCCCTGGCTTCATTGGCAGGCCACTGAAGCTGCTTTTCCTTTGTAACTTTTTTTAAGGAACTGGTTTTATTACAAGGTAAGTAATTATATAGGCTTAAAACAACGTATTGCTACTTTGCTACAAAATGTCTTGAAGTAAAAACTTAAATAACAGCCTGTTTAAAATCAACCCAGGAGTGGCTTTCCCTTCCTACTGAAACAATCTAACCACTGAAAATGGTGTAGGAGCTGCGTTGTCCCAAGAGAAGTTTCTGCAAGTGATGGGAATGTTTTCTATCTTTAAATGAAAATGCTTTAAGATTCAATAAAATACATTGAGCTTCTCAGTTGCTGCAGTCACACAGCCAGTGGTGGCTGTCGGACGGCGGAAATGCAGAGGGCTTCGTCCCCAGATGTAGGCTATGCCGCAGGGAGCCCAGAGGACGCCATTCTAGTTGGGAGGTGACCTTGCACATCAGGGCCAAAAGAGGTTTACCGAACTGCCTCAGGCACCCAAGATGACATTTACTACAGAATTGGCCCTGGCCTCGGTCGGAGTCACAGACCCCCAGGAGTACCATCCCTGCGCCCCAGTCTCTACCTACATAGCAGGTCCTTGTGACCTTCGCGTCCAAGTCACCGACACAGAAGTGCACAAAGCCTCTAAGTACACACGGTTCTGAGAACTAGAAAGAACCTACCTAGAGCGGTGCGTGGGGCAGTGGGTCTCTTGAGGAAACTGTTCATAGTGAAGGGGACAGAGAGGACTCAGGTGGGCAGAAAACCTGCCCCTCAGACCCGTTCCTTGGCCACAGTGGACTGAGCTGTGTGTGTCCAGAGGTGTCCGGTGTGTGTGCTGGCAGACTTCACCCTCGCCTGCTCGGCTTCCCTGGAACAGATTGGCTGTACTTTCCCATGTGGACTCTCAGCACATTTCAGAGCCCCTTCTGTGTCGGTATGTGTGGAGCTGCCTCTTTTTAACCCACTCACCTGAATCCACCATACCTGCAGGGTCGCGTTATAACGTGATTTAAACAGTACGAAACTCCATGTACGTTTGGCCCGTGAAGAGAAGTTGAGTCCCCTCCATCCTCTGGGCCTACAGTTCCCTTTCCTGCTGTCCGCAGTATGGGCAAGCCATGGCATCAGAGAGCTTTTCCTTTAGAAAAAGAAGAAAATAGACTTTGGGGCATTCTCTGAGAGTCTGTTTATATAAGCATAAGCATAATTTCTAAATTTTTAGGGTCTTTTTGGCTATGTAATCACAGTACTAAACTCTGGAGGGGACAGAATGAAAATCCTCTCCCCCACTCTGCAGTTCAAGTCCACCCTCAGCAAATGTCTCCACTTTCTCACGTACCTTTCCTGAGATGCCGCACAAATCAACTTTTTTTTTTTAAGATTTTATTTATTTATTTGACAGACAGCGAGAGGGAACACAAGCAGGGGAGTGGGAGAGGGAGAAGCAGGTTTCCCGCTGAGCAGGGAGCCCGACGTGGGGCTCGAGCCCCAGACCCTGGGATCATGACCTGAGCCGAAGGCAGACGTCTAACGACTGAGCCACCCGGGCGCCCCCAACTTCTCTTTTTTTATACAAATGGTATGTACTGTACACTGCATTTTGCCCCCTCACGTATGGGGGAAATAAAGAGCTTCTTCATTCCTGTTATTGTACCCCTTTATTCTGCCAGGACTACTCACCTGGGTGTGAAGATCCAGATCAGTGTTTGGTGGCCCCTACCTCTCCCTTAGCCATTGTTTTTGCTTCCAGATTTTGAATCCCAGGACAACCACCTTCTAGCTGTGTGACCTTGGGCAAGTGACTTAGCTTCTCTGTGGCTCAAATTCTTCAACTGTAAAACAGGCATAATAATAGTACCTCTTCTAGGGTTGTAAGGGTTTCCAGAGATGGAGATACCCACCCACACTCACACACCAGGACCCGGCACAGAATAAGCACTGTGTGTCAGTTATCATGCGAAGGTTTCTTAGTCCACAGCTGGCAACCCCAAAGGCTGAGGTAAGTCCAAGGTCTTTGGGGGTGAGTGCCCTCAGCTGAGCTCCAGGAACCCAGTTCCCAGATGATCCCCTGAGACACTCAGCTCCCGTCCTGGCCCCCACCCAGCCTGAGGAAGCTATACCTGAAGCAGGCTCACTCCCATGCTATTGTGACAACCAGCTCACTCGAAAGATGCCAGAGAGCACCAGGCTCCAGAATTGAGCAGGCCCCAGTTTGAATCCCAGCTGTGTCACTTTGCTGTCATGTGTCTTTGGGCAGGTGACTTCACCACTTTGAGTCTCAGTGGCCTCCTTTTAAAAATGAGACAAATGAGGTGCAGACTTCATGGTGGTCTAAGTGAAAGGTGGGCAAGGTAATGCATCAGGGAAGCAAGGAACATGACATTATCAACTGGGCTTTTGTGGCCCCTCAGGAGGTGCTGAGTTCAAGTTCTGCTCACTGCATTCCCCTGAGCAAATGATAAAATCTCTCAGGGCCTCAGGTCCGTCCCATGTAAAACAGGACAATCACCGCAGCTTAGCCTTCTCACTGCCCCCAAGTTGGAGCTCAGACAGCTAACCCCTGAGAAGGCCTCTGTGTTACAGGCATGGCCTAGAGCAAGTGTGCAGTTAACATGAGCAGATATTTCTAAAGCACTTAGCAGAAAGCTTTTCTCAGGTCTTTTCAATTTTTTTTTTTAAGATTTTATTTATTAGAGAGAGAGCACAAGCAGGTGGAGCGGCAGGCAGAAGGAGAGGGAGAAGCAGGGTCCCCCCTGAGCAGGGAGCCCGATGCGGGGCTCGATCCCAGGACCCCGGGATCATGACCTGAGCCGAAGGCAGACGCTTAACCAACTGAGCCACCCAGGTTCCCCAATTTTTTTTTAAGTAAGCTCTATGCCCAACATGCAGCTTGAACTCCCAATCCAGAGATCAAAAGTCAGACATTCTACTGACTGAGCCAGCCAGGCACCCCATGTCCCAGGTCTTCTTAAATATTATTCTTATTAGTTAACTATTGAAGTACACAACATAGCACCTGACACATAATAAGTAATTGTCCACTGCATCAACATTTATTGACTCCCTACTATGTGCCCTGCCCTGTGCTTGATGCTGGGGACACAGTGGTAAACAAAACTGGCAAAAATTCCTGCTCTTTTAGAGCTCAGGATTGACTGGGGGAAGAAAGAAAATAAAGATAAATAAAACATCTAATGTACTAGATAGTGGGGAGAGTGATGCAGAAATATAAAACATTGGGGGTAGAAAGTTTGGGGCACTTTTTAAATAGTATGGTCAGTGAATGCCTCCCCAAGAAGATGACATATGAGTGAAGACTTGAAGGAGGTAACTTCTTCAGGTGGATACTGAAGGAAGGGTGTTCCAGGCAGAGGGAGCAGCCTGTGCAAAGGCCCTGAGGCAGGAATGTGCCTGAGTTGTTTGAGGACCAGCCAGGAGCCCAGTGAGGCTGGAGCAGAGTGAGCAAGGGGTGAGTGGGAGGAAGTGAGGGCAGGGAGTGACAAAGCAGATGGTGAAGGACCTGGTGGGCCCCTGGGAGAACTTCAGCTTTTCCTCAGAGTGAGGTAGGAGCTTGCAAGCATTTGGGTTTTTGCTTTGTCTTCATTTTCCTTTGCTGGGATGGGGGGTGGAGAGTGTCATTTGACTATATAACTTGAAGTCCCAGAGATAACATCATCAGGCTCTTGAAATTTCAATGCACCAAACTTTCACCTGAAAACAGCACAACACAAACAACAAGTGTCTATATTTTCTATTAAAATCTAGTCCTCAAAGTGCATGTACTCATGTTCCCTCCCACAGATCTGACAATGCTTTCCTGGTCTGCTGATTCCACACCTGCCTGCGACATCTGACTTCTGAGTTCTCAAACTGTGATGATTCAGCCAGACATCCTCCTTTGTCATGAAGGGAGGAGAGACAAACCTCAGGAAAGATCCACAGGGTCCCCCTCCAGGACAACCCTAGCTTCCTGGAGGTCGCCAACCATGCCCTGGTAATCTATGCATCACCAGCGCTGAGAGCAGTGCTTGGCCCAGAACTGCCCTCTGAGTGTTTGTTGAATAAGTAATTGAATGACAAACTGATTCGGACAAGAGGACCGGCAACATCTATCCTATGACCCTTCATGTTAGAGCACGTGCAGAGGAAGAAAACCCAGCCCTAGGGGGCTGCTGGTGGATCCCCCTGGGAAGGGTCCCCCGTGCCCCACTTCCTCCAGTGCCCACCTGGTAGAAGTGGAGGTTCTCTGGCTCCAGGAAAGCCCCTCTTTCCTGGCCTGTTCCTAATTCACGATTCATGGGTTAGTCATTAGGCACAGTTCCTGACTGCCAGGTCAACGCTAGGCCCTGGGACACCCGGTGACAAGGCGATGTGGGGGGTCCTCGGGAAGCTCATCGTCTTCTCGGAAATGCAGACTGAACTAAAACAGAGATTTTAGGTTCTCGTGGCTAGAACAGACAGTAGGAGAGAGTAGGGTGGGGCCTGGCTGGGGTGAGACAGGCCAGGTGCCAGGGCCCTGCTGAGGCAGGCCTACATGCCTGAGGCAGAAGGGAAGCCTGTTGAAAGAGTTTGAGTCAGGAAGGACATGGCCTGATTTGCCTTTGCGGGAAGTTGGAGCTGAGGCCTGGGTGGTTGTTCTCAGCGGGGGCCCACCTTTCCTTGGGAAGATATTGGTGGACATCAACATAGCTTAAGCCTGTCTCCAGATGGACTACTTCAGCAAAGGGTGTTTTGAGGGCAGATGGCCTCTTGGCAGGGGTCTTCAGCAACAGAGGGGCAGGACCTGACTCAGGAGCTCAGAGGCGCCCTCTGGCTTCTATTAGGGTTGCAAACCTGGGAGCTGTGCAAGAGGTCAACTGCTGGGGATGATGGGGCTGAACCGGGTGGGGGCCAAGGTGGTGGTGGGAAATTACCAGAGATGCATTTCAAAAAGAGAGCTGCCCATTGGCCCTCCAGAAAACAGCAGTGCTTCCAGGTTTTATCATGACTTTCTGAAATCTAGCAGCAAAAGGCAGGTGCCTGCACTGGGTCTGAGGGACCTGGGGCCATAAGACCCAGCCCGGTAAAGGCCACATCCTTTGCTTCCCCTCCAGGTCCATCCCACTGAGAACCACTCCTGCCAGGCCGACAGGGGGAGTCCAACCACAAGCCACAAAGAGCCAGGCAATTAAACTCCGAGATCACTCTGCCAGGGTATTGTCCCTCAGCACTGTCCCTCCTTGGTCCTCCCTGTACCCCCCATGTCTCATTGTCAGGCCCCACACTGAGGCAAGTACGACCCACCCACCCAGAGGGATGTCACGTGTCTTGGGGTTGAAGCTAAAGCATCATACCCATGAGTCACTCTTCAACTTTGAGTCAGTGGCTCCCCCCTCTCTGAGCCTCAGTCTCCCCCTCTATAGAATGGGGGTGATATCCAGTGTGATTATTCACGAAAAGCAGGCAGCACAGGTCCCGGCACATAGTAAGAGCTTAATAAAAGTGTCAGTTTCTATCCACTTCTATTATGACATACTGTGTGCATTCCTCTCTCTGACCTCGACACTGTTCAATAACACCAGCTGGTATTCACTGAGCATTTACAATCTACCCAGTACCACTGTAGGCATCTGATACAGAATAGCTCATTTCATTCTAGCATAATCATAACAACTTTAGGAGGTGTGTGCTATTATTATCCCCATTTCACAGAGGAAGAGACTGAGGCACACAGGGTGAAGCCCAGGGTCACACAGCTGGTGAGCAGCACAGGTGATAGAGAAAAAGAAGACTGTATCCTACCCCACAACGTGAGGTGGACTAGAGATGGAATAAAAGACACAGGGAAACTAAAACTGTAGAATGAATAGAAGAAAATATGGAAGAATAACTTTGTGATTTAAGAGAAGAGCCTCCTTAATGAAATTTCATGGGTGCAAACCACAAGCAGATAAGTCCTGTTATATTTCAGTTAGGAATTTTCTCCCAATGAAGGATATAATGGGTGAAGCTAATCATCACATGGCGGAATTGGAGAATATGTTTGTGACACCTAATACTGTATCTACCTCACAGGGTCATTAGGAGAGTTAAACAGTTTAATAAGTGTAAAGTTCTTAGAACAGTGTCTGGTACGTGGTAAGCTCTGTCTAAACATTATTTATCATTCCTGAAGCTGTCAAGTGCTCAATATCCCAGCGCTACCCAGTAGAACTATGCAAGCACGCGTGTAATTTTAAATCGTCTAGCAGCCACATTAAAATAATAAAAGAAACAGGTGAGAGGAATTTGAGTAACACGTTTTATATAGCTCAATATATCCACATTATTATTATTATAACATGTTGTCAGCATAAAAATGAATTAATGAGATGTGATATTTTACATCCGCTTTTCTTTGTGCTGTGTCTTAGAAATCTGGTGTGTATTTTCCACTGCTGGAACATCTCAATTTTTTTAAAGATTTTATTTATTTATTTGCCAGAAAGAGAGAGAGAGCACAAGCAGAGGGAGTGGCAGGCAGAGGGAGAAGCAGACTCCTCACTGAGCAAGGAGCCCAATGTGGGACTTGATCCCAGCACCCTGGGATCATGACCCAAGCTGAAGGCAGACGCTTAACCAACTGAGCCACCCAGGCGTCCCTGGCACATCTCAATCTGTATTAGCCATATTTCTTTTTTTTTTTTTAAGATTTTATTTATTTATTTGACAGAGAGAGACACAACGAGAGAGGGAACACAAGCAGGGGGAGTGGGAGAGGGAGAAGCAGTCTTCCCGTGGAGCAGGGAGCCCGATGCGGGGCTCCATCCCAGGACCTGGGATCATGGCCTGAGCCTAAGGCAGATGTTTAACGACTGAGCCACCCAGGCGCCCCTGTATTAGCCATATTTCAAGTGCTCATAACCACATATGGAGAATTCGAGGAGATAGATCAGACTGGACAGTGCAGATCTCGACTCCAGGAGGAGCACATGCAATCAACAAGTAAAAGAGAGCAACCCAAGTGCAAACAGGGCAAAGATTATGAACAGGCAATTTACAAAAAAGGAGAAACTGAAGGCCATCAAGCAAATGAGGAGATGTTCAAAGTGACTGGAAATCAGAGAAATGTGAAAGATAGCAATGCTGATGTCACTTTACAGTGAGTCTGAGCAGCAAAAATTAGAAGCTGGATAAAGCCAACAGCTGGAGGAGATGTGGGTCCATGGGCCCCTCTGCACTGCCAGAAGACGTGACTGGGGACAGCGAGTCCAGGAGGCCACAGAGCAAATTGATTGTGTCCTGTGACCCAGCATCTCTGCATCCAGGTCTCTCTCCTAGGGGGATTCCCACCAGGTCTCTAAGGGGACATGTCCAAGCCTGCAGTGTGAGGAGTTGGAGGCTGCCTGGTGTCCATCCCCGGGGGACACAGTAGTAAGATGTGAGGGATACATCTGTGGAGCACCAAGTAGAAATGAGAAGAAAATAGATATAAGAGATGGGCAACATGGATGGATCTTTAAGGCCTACTGCAAAACAGGCAAACAAGCAAGCAAGGCAATACAGTGCTAACCGGAAAAGAAAAGTAAGAAGCCAAGTATAATGGAACGCCCACATAAAACAATACACATTTTCGGGGCGCCTGGGTGGCTCAGTCGTTAAGCGTCTGCCTTTGGCTCAGGTCATGATCCCAGGGTCCTGGGATCGAGCCCCGCATCGGGCTCCCTGCTCCGCGGGAAGCCTGTTTCTCCCTCTCCCTCTCCCTCTCCCCCTGCTTGTGATCCTGCTCTCACTGTGTCTCTCTCTGTCAAATAAATAAATAAAATCTTTAAAAAAAAAAATACACATTTTCAGGGGCTCCTGGGTGGCTCAGTCGTTAAGCGTCTGCCCTCCACTCGGGTCATGATCCAGGGGTCCCGGGATCGAGTCCCGCATCGGGCTCCCTGCTGAGTGGGGAGCCAGCTTCTCCCTCTCCCACTCCCCCTGCTTGTGTTCCCTCTCTCGTTGTGTCTCTCTCTGTGTGTCAAATAAATAAATAAAATCTTAAAAGAAAAAAACAATGCACATTTTCAAGAAAACGCACAAAAAGGGGCACTTTGAGCCTCCTACAGTGTTGTACCAGAGATGGGAGGAAATTGGGGGTATTTTCCCCTAATGTTTATTTTGAAATTTTCAAAGGCATAGAAAACTCACAAGAATAGTAAAATGAATACCCACATACTATTCTCCTAGATTCGGTGGCAATTGTTACTACCTTGCCACATTTGTGCTCATGTGTATGCACTGTCTCTCCCTCCCACTCCCTCTCTCCATCCCTCCTCTATATTAATATTAATGTATACCATATTTTGATAGTGTATATAAAATATATACATATATTTTTTGTGAGCCATTTGGAGTTGCAGCCATCACAAATTTACCACTAAATAGTTCAATGTGTTTCTCCCCAAAATAAGAACATTCTCTTATCTAACCACAGTACAATGCTCACATTCAGGAAATTTAACATGGATGTATTATCTAATATCTACTCCACATTCAAATATCCTTGATCATCCCAAGAATATCTTTCATAGCTGTTCTATCCTTTTTTTTTTTTTTTGTAATTTTTATCAAGGACCCAATCAAGGATCATACATTCATTTTGGTTGTCACCTGTGTCTCCTTCAATCTAGAACTGTTCCCCAGCATTCCATTCATTCATTCATTCATTCAATTAATGGATTGATTTTTCCTTTCCTGACATAGATCTACTTGAAGAGTCCAGGCATTTTTGGTTTTTGTTCTTTGGTTTTGGGTTGTTTGTTTGTTGGCAGAAAGTCCCTTAATCAGAAGTATCTGGTTATGTCCTCATGAGTAGATCCAGGTTGAACACTTTGGGCAGGACCAAGCGCTTTGCAGGTGATGTTGTGTCCTCAGTACATCACGGCAAGGGGTATGTGAGGTCGACCTGTCCCATCACTAGTGATGTTAGTTTTGATCACTTGGTTAAAGTTGTGACAGGTTTCTCCACCAAGGTATCCTTCCCCCACTGTAATTAACAAGTAATTTGTGGGCTGGTCCTTTGAGACTGTGTGAATATCTACTTCCTCCACTGATTAGCCTCACCTGAATTAATTATTTCTCTACTGGCTGCAGAATGGGGATTTTCTAACTCAATCTTCCCTTCTGCATATATTAGCTGTCGTTCCAGATTATTTTTCCAAAGGGGGCAGAGGTAGCACTGAGTCTGAGCTCCTCAGCATCTGGGCCTCCCAGCCTCTTGAAGTATAAAATTGGTTAGAGGTGGCCTGCTCTGTGCCCTTGGGCAACCCCCTCACCCCTCCCTGGGGACTCCTCATCAGTCAACAGGTGGATTCCGACGGGTTCTGCTCAGGACTCTGCGGTCCCCGTGGCCCCACATACTGTCCTTTGCAGGGTGTGCAGAGGGCAGCTCAGATGCCAGGCGCAAGCAGGACAGTGGTTACAGTCCCACAGAGGACACTGGCCCAGCCATTGCAACTGATCACTCAGTGGGGATGGCAGAGGTCAACAGAACAGGAAGAGAAGGACAATAGCTGTGCCTGTTGCCCAGGCAGTGGCAGTGTTTGCTGGCTGGGCGGGGCGAGACTCGCAGCCCTCAGAGGCTAAGCCCAGGCCCCGCTCTCCTCTTTCCCTTCGCCGCTCCAGAGGACCTGCCGGGGCTGGGATGCACAACAGCTCACCCTGGGCACTGCAGAGACCCAGTCATTCAATGAAGCTTGAGCGGAGTCGCAGCCATTAGAGAACTACAATTCCCAGAAGACACAGCAAGCTCCTGGTCCAACCCCAACTGCCCCAGCGGCCGGCTTTGAGGCCGAACAAGGAAATCTCACCTGTCTGGGAACTGAGAGTCCTGGTCTGCACGAGGTGCGTTTTTGTCTTTGTTTCTTGGACCTACTCCTGCCTGAGAAATCCCAGTTAGGATGGTGAGATCACCTGTCCTCTCATTCACACGTGGGCGCTGAGACGCTGCTCGGTGCCAGTCTCCGGACCCGGGCGTGCGGGTGGAGGGGGGGGGCAGTTAGGTGGAGGAGACAGCGTCATGCAAGGGCAGAGGCTTGGATTGGCTGGGTACCCTTTGAAGCCTAGCACATATGTGCTCAGTAGATATTCGCTGGTCTAACCAACAAGCGAGCAGCCCATCTCGCCCTTGTCTTCCCTTCCATGCACCGTTTCATACAGATTTGCTAGCTCCTAGGATATTGCACTCTCCCAAAATATGCTGTATCTCTCGGTCCGGCTTCCAGGCCTTTTGCACGCGCTGTTACCTCTACCAGAAGCACATTGAGCTTACTCGTTGAAGTATCTGTAGAGATAGGACAGCGCCTGGCACGGAGCAGGGGCACATGAAATATTTGACGAGTGAATGAATGAATGAATGAATGAACAAATGCCCTTGTCCATTGTACACCCCAGGAAGCAGGGACACTAGGGACCCTCCCTATTCATCTCGATCCTCCGCCCGCTCGCCCGCCTGGAATGAATGCATTCTTTTTATCCGCTCCGAGGATGGCCGGGCTGGGGCAGGGGCAGACCGGGAGGAGGATTGGATTGGGGGCTACCCTCGGCCCCCTCCCAGGTCTCCTAAAGGGTCAGCTTTTCCGGACGTGGGGAGTTTGCTTCTGCCCGAAACTTAGCCCCGGTCACCTGACTCCCACGACCAGCCTTCCCGCCCCTTACCATCCCGGACACCCCAGACCGACACTGAGCCAACAGCACGTGGTCCGGGGGACCCAGCTTCCCATTGGTTGCTCGTCTCCTTCCTTCCCCGCGATTGGCAGGGGCCCAGCCTCAGGTCCCCCCCTCCGCGCCCTGCGGTGGTACAGCCTGCCGCGGCTTTAGGCGGGGTGGGAAGGTCCACTGCGCCGCGGTGCGGGGGGGTCGGGAAGAGCCGGGCGAGGCGGAGGGATCCCTCTGGAATGTTTCCGTCGGGCCCACCCGGGCTAGGGCGGCACGGCGCGGATTGGCTACGAACGTCGGACGGCCGCTCCTGATTGGCGGGGCGCGGGCGCGGGCCCCGCCCTCCCTGGCCGCGGCTGCGGGAGAGGCCCGGGCCGGAGTTTGCGGAGGGCCGAGCCGGGCGCGCGCGGGCTGGCGGCGGCGGCGCAGGTGAGTGGCCCCGCGGGCGGGGCGCGGCGCGGCCGCTCCCGGGGACCCCAGCGCGGACCTGCGGGGTCGCAGAGCAGCGGGGATCCGGCGGATCGAGCGGGGTGGGGCCGGCCCCATGGACAGGGTTGGAGGTCTAGGTTGGCCTCCAGGATGCCCGAGGCCCCCTCCCAGAGAGGCCCCTATCGCCCCGCCCGGCGCAGGGTCAAACGCCTTCCGCCGCTGGGATGGGGTCGACAGCCCACCCCGCTCCCTGCGCTCCTCTGGACAGTCCCCGCCCCGACGGGGACGGGCGCGGGGTCGGCATTTCTGAGCCCTGCCTGGGCACCTCCCTGGAGCCGGCCTCGTCCCAGTCCTCCAGGGCCTAGAGGGACCTGGAGAGGACCGAGGTCCCGATAATAATAATGAAAAGATCACTCCGGCTAGCATTTTTTGAACGCTTCCGTGTCAGGTATTTACCATGCGTATCACTGAATCTAAACACTTTATGGGAGGTGCTGTTACTTCTTTTAGAGGTGAAGCAACAGACCCAGAGAGGTGGAGTGACTTGCTCAAGGTGACACGGCTAGTAAGTGACAGATCGGGAACTCGAACCCGTGCTTCAGAGTCCAGAACTGGAGTCTCAGCCACTAGACTAGATGGCTCCGTGGCTCAGTGGCCCAGTGTTTCCGTGGCTCAGTGGCCCAGTGTTTCCGTGGCTCAGGTGTTCCTGACCCGCTCCGCTGCCCTGCTGCTGCTTCCACTTCCAACCCTGCACACATGTGGGCCACACCTGCTGCCCTTTGCTTTCCCCCTAAGGGGTCACCAGACACCAGCCCTACCTTGCCTCCCCTGAGCTGGAAAGACAAAGACTGAATACCTGAGCTGGAAAGACAAAGACTGAATACCTAAGTTCTAAGTAGAGAGTGACACCTGCAGGGGAGATGGGGGCCCGGGGATCCTTTGCCCCCTGGGCCCCCTGGGAAGCCTGGGCTGAGGCCTGGGCAGTAGGCGTTCTCCCCGGAAACACCCAGGAGCCGGTTTTTCAAGACTGAATCAGAGGCCTCCCGCCCTCCTCTCCGAAGCAATATCCTACTAGAAAGGGGAGGCTGGGTGTGGTGGCCCCCCTCCCCCAGCTTATGTCAGCTCCCAGGAACCCCCTTCCCCACTTCCTGCTGCCCCCCGCTGTGATTCTGCGTGGTTGTGGGGTTGTTTAGTTTCAGGCCCTTTGCAGGGAAGAGAGGGTGGGGATGCTGGGATTCCAGCCAATGCGCTTGGCGCCCAGGCTGACACTCTTTTCCTCCAACCCTATGTTCAGGTTTGAGCGGAGACTGGGAACTTGGGGAGGGGGTGGCAGTTAGCAACTCCCGGCATGTTCTGAGGATAGGAGGGCTCAGAGAGTAGTCAGAATGAGGACAGAAGGCACATTCATCCATTCTACAAACATTTATTGAGCACCTACCATGTGCCAGGCACTGTTCTTGGCACAATAGTGAACAAGACAAAAATCCCTGCTCTGTGGGAGCTGCCATTCTAGTTGGGGGGAAACAGGCAACAAGCAAGTTAACGAGTAAATAAAGAAGGTATCTGCAGATGGTAGTAAGTGCTATGTGCTATGAATAAAAGTGCTGTGAATAAAATATGAGGGGGTGGCATGGTAGAATCTGTGGGTAAGGGGGGTGGCTTGCAGGAGGTGACTTTGGAGACAAGATCTAAATGAAAAAAGGAGGTAGCCCTGCAAAGATCAGGCAGGGGGCCCACCCCAGGCAAAGGCCCTGAGGCTAGATGGAGCTTGGAATAGCGTGGCTGGGGCACCAGCTGCAGTCAAAGTGGCAGTTCTGCAGGGGTCTGTGACTCATATTAAGGAGTGTGGAGCTTTTCCTCTGTAAGGTGGGAAATCGTAAGATTCGAAGCCGGGGAGTGACGCGATCTGGTTTACATTTTAAAATAGAGACACGAAGTGAAATAGCAGCCTAAGACTGAAAGACAAGATTCTGCCAGGGCAACATGTAATTAAGTTCATGGGCCTGAGCCGTCTGGACCACAGGGGCGGTTCCAACAGGCTGGGGCAAGCCAGGGAAGCTGCCTGGAGGAGGTAGCCTAGACTAGGCCTCCTCAGGCAAAGTGGACTGGGATGTTCCTGGATGGGGCAGGGGAAGAGGCCATAATAATAATGACCATGATAGTAACAGTTTCCTTATAGCAAATGTCAGACAAAATGCTAATCAGATTGTATGCATAATCTCTTTGGCTTCCCATAAGCACCCTGAGAGACAGGAATTCCGCTTGTTTTTTCGGATGAGAAAACTGAGGCCCCATCACATGAAGTGACTTGCCCACGGCTACGCAGCTGGTAAGTGGCAGGGGTGGGATTTGAACCCAGGCCACCCTGCCTCTTCTAGTCTGGAAGGCAAATTCATTAATCACTTACTTTCCTCACTACCATTATTCCCTCCTCACAGGGGAGGACGTGGAAACGCGCCTGAACCAGGGCAGCAAGCCTAGGCAGAGTAAGGAGGTTGGGAATTGGTGATCAGGATGTGGAGGCCCTGGGTAAAGGAGGAAGTTTGAATCTTGTCAACTGACTGAAAGGTGGTACAGATGGAAATAGTAGTTAAAAAAAAAAATCACCATTTATGGAACCCTTCTCACGTGCCAGGAACTGTTCCAGGCACATATATGATTTCCTCAGAGAAGTTAAGACACTTGCCCAAGGTCACACAGCTAGTAAGAGGAGAAGCCAGGTTCCAGACTCATGTTCGCAGCATCCTGCTAAGATATGTGAGGGGCAGCAGAAGGAGAACCAGAGGAGGTGATGATGAGGGGTTTGGGATTTTGTTTTTTGTTTTTTGTTTTTGTTTTTGTTTTTCTTTTTAAGCATCGCTGAGTGCGATGAAATAATCTGAGGAGACAGCATTGGTTTATTCATTCAGAATTTGTTTTTCGTCAAGTATTCAGCAAATGCCTACTGTGATGGGTGCTATGAATAGAGAGATAAGGTAACCAATAAAAGACTAGTATCCCGAGTATATATAAAGAGTTCCCACAAATCAATAAGAAAAAAGACAGGCATTACAATAAAAAACAAACGGTACAATTTTTAAAAATGGGCAAAGACTTAAAGAGGCAATTCACAAAGGGACAAATCCAAGCAGTTAATAAATGTCTTAAAAGTTGTTAAGCATGGAGCACATGGGTGGCTCAGTTGGTTAAGCATCCAGCTCTTGATTTCAGCTCAGGTTATGATCTCAGGGTCGTGAGTCAAGCCCCGCATTGGGCTCCACACTGGTAGTGGAACCTGCTTAAGATTCTCTCCCTCCCTCTTCCTCGGCCCTTCCCTGCCCACCCTATAAAAAAGAAAGTTGTTCAGCATCCTTGATTATGAAGGGAGTGAAAACAAAACCACAGTGAAAGGTGAGGGAGATACTCTGTGTCTATGTGGGTAGATGGAGCAACCTACCCTGTCCCCAGCGCTATGCTGGGAAGCAAAGGATGAGGACCACAGAGGTGGGGCTTGTGCTTTTGCTGGTGCTATGGTGGCTGTCTGGGGCAGGGACTACAGTCTTGCCCCTCTCTCTCCCCAGAGCCAGGCACAGGGACTGGTGGGCCAATGAATATTAGGATCAGTCATCCATCCAGTCATTCAGCAAATATTTATTGAGCACCTGCTACACACCAGGCACTGTTCTCTGCCCTGAGAAAATAGGAATGAATAAGGCAGACAAAATTCCTTGCCCTTTCAGAAAACAGTGAACAAGAATAGTGGATGAAACATATATCCCACCTGAAAGAGATGCGCGAATGAGTTGTGGGGATGCCAGAGGGCAGAGTCAAGTGCAGAAGCACTGAGGCTGGGCTGCCCTTGGTGTGCCAGAGGGGCAGGGACAAGGCCCGTGTGCCTGGGAGGGACGAGCAAGGTGGAGGGTGGGAGGAGGGGAGGGGAGGGAGGTGATGGGAGCAGATCTTTTGGGGCCTGTGGGTAGAGGGGAGGACGTTGGCTTTTACTCTGAAGGAGGTGGGAGCCCTGGGAGGGGTCGGAGCAGAGGACAGGTGTGACGTGACTTACGTTCTACAGGATCATTCTGGCTGCTGTGTTGACACAGGCCGTGGAGGGCGAGGGCAGAAGCCTGCAGACTTGGAGGAGGCAACTGCACTAGTGGAGGTGAGAGACGCTGGGGGCTGGAGCAGGTGCTACTGGAGGAGGTGTGGGAGAACAGACGAATGAATGTGGGCGCAAACAAATGGAGGCACGAGAGTGGGTGCAGCGCACTGGGTTTGGCTGAATCCAGGACGGCCCCCTGGAGGAAGAGGTTTTAAAGGAGGGAGCAGGAAGTCCCCTTTACACAAAAAATAGAATTTGGCATGATGGGATCCTCACCTCACCTGGCCAGGTGGGTGGAGTGTCCCCACTTGCAGAGCAGACATCCCAGGCCCAGGGAGATGGAGTTGTTTAGGGAGCCACTCTGCATGGGCATCAGACAGACCCGAGAGTGCAGCTGGCTTCTGTGACTTTGGGCGTGTGACTCGAAATGAAATCTGAACTCTTTCCCAGTCTGGAAGGCCCGCAAAGTCGACCCCTTACACCCCCTGTCACCTCTTGTACCGCACCTCTTCGGTCTCTCATTGCTCGCTGCACTGAGGTTACAGTGGGCTCTTGCTGATCTGTGAGCCTGAGACTCTGCTCAGAACCCTCCCATGGCCACCACCTCACTCAGAGCAAAGGCCTAAGTCCTCCCTGGGCGTACGAGGCCCTGCTCGCTCTGCCCGATCCCCTTCCTGCCCTCACCTCCTCCTGCTGTCCCCCTTAGCACTCTGTTCCAACCCCACAGGCCTCCTCGCTGTTCCTCAAACACACCAAGCACGTCCCCACTTCAGGGCCTTCGTACTGGCCGTTCCCTCTGCCTGGAGCCGTCTTGCCTCACATCCTCGTATGGATACTTCTTCCTGTCACTCAGGTCTCAGGTTCAGTTTCACCTGCTCAGAGAGGCCCTCTTTGACCTTGTCTGTAGAAGAACTTGTCTTGTTTGATTGTCTTCATAGCACGAATAGAAATCACATTAGACTTTTACACATGTGCTTGCTCACTGTGCATCTTCTCTGGATTATATGCTCTGGACAGCATGGACAGAGCTCCGGCTAGCATATGTGGCACCTAGGAGGGAACTGGAAGGAGGCAGCCCTTCCTCCCGGCAGACACATCAGCTCGGCATGTAGCTCGGCAAGCAGAGCACAGGCTGAATTTCAGTCCCACTTGCAACCCTGGTCTGGTGCTTTTGCACAGTGAACAACCTGTGTAACTGCACAGAGTGGCCCTGGTCACGGACCTTGCTTATCTTACTGAAGGCAATATCTACAGTGGTGCATGGAATACAGTAAGCATGCAAAAAATATTTGTTTGAAAGGAGGGAGGAAGAAAGAAACAGAGAATGGAGGTAGAGAAAAGAAAACAAAGAGGAAAGAAAAATGGTAAATCAGTCAGGACAGGTTTTGCTACAGTAACAAACAACCCCCCAAATCTTAGTGGCCGAACTCCACCAGGCTTATTTTTTTTGTTCCTGCTACGTCACTGCAGCTCAGCAGGAGGTCCCATTCATTATCAAATGCAGCCTGCCTGGGAGATATAGATCCCCCGGAGTCTCTTGCTCCAGTGATTAAATGCTTCAGCCCAGAAACATCATGTGTCTCACAGCTCATTGGTCAGAAGTGGTCATATGCCTGCCCAGTCACAAGGAGGTCAGCAAGTGTCACCCGCCTGTGTGCTCTGAAGGGAGAGTCAGAAATTTTGGGAGCGCAGCACTAGTGAGTGTCAGTGCCAATAGAAAAATAAAGAGGAATGTAGCCACTTTGAGCCTCCATTTTCTCATCTGTTAAATGGGCATAATCATAACATAATATAGTCCCCACGTCCCGATGCGATGTGAGGATGAAGGAAGGTCACAGCGCAGTTTGCTTGGGGCCTCAGTAGGTAACAGCTGCCATTATTACTTCTGTACAAGGTATATGTAAGTGCTGGGCCCGGGTTTCCAACCGAGGCTGTTCTGTTCTCTAAATATCTCATAAGGCCAGGAGGGTGCTAATAGTGTGGGAGAGGCGGCCCGAGGCCACTGCCCGGGCCCTGAGCCCATTTTCCTGCCCTGCAGATCTCCTGAGCGTGCCCGCGCGTCTCCCTGCTCATGCCGCTGGGACTGGGGCGGCGGAAAAAGGCGCCGCCTCTGGTGGAAAATGAGGAGGCGGAGCCAGGCCGTGGGGGGCTGGGCGTGGGGGAGCCGGGGCCCCTGGGTGGGGGTGGGGCAGGGGGGCCCCAGATGGGCCTGCCTCCCCCTCCCCCGGCCCTGCGGCCCCGCCTCGTGTTCCACACCCAGCTGGCCCACGGCAGTCCCACGGGCCGCATCGAGGGCTTCACCAACGTCAAGGAGCTGTACGGCAAGATCGCCGAGGCCTTCCGGCTGCCAGCTGCCGAGGTACCCGCGGGGGAGCCGGGCCCCGGGGTCCCTGCCCGAGGGCTGAGGCCCGGGCGTGCCTCCTGCTCGGGAGCGGCGGCTCAGACGCTGGAGCTGCACGTGCCGGGGCCTGCTCCCCAGTGACTTACGGGGAACTGGAGGCCAAGCCTGGGTGCTGAGCGCCCTTCAGGCATCGGGAGGCCTGTGCCCCGGCGGCCTGCAGAAGTGGGTGGCCAGGGCTGGATGTGACCTTCCCAGCATGCATCGGGAGGCTTGCGCCCCAGTTGATTACGGGGTCTGGAGGTCAGATGCGAGATTCATTTCTCTGATGCATTGGGAAGCCTTACCCGGAGGACCTGGGAGCTGAAGGAAGGGAGGCAAAAAGGGCATCCGTAGGATTGAGCAGGAAGTAGATGCGGGGGTCTCAGTAGGTGTGGGGGATATTTTCTGCCCCTTCATTCATTCCACAAGCCCTTACTGAGCACCCATTGTGTGCCAGGCTCTGTGCCCTGGGGGCCGCAGGGAGTTTTTGCTAGGACAGAAATCCCAGCTCCAGCAGAGCTGCATCCTAGTGGGGGCCACTCTGGGGTGAGGATCCCCAGCCCTTTCCCAGCTCCCTCCCCCCGCCCCGTTCCCCCTCAGGTGGTTGCTAGCAAAGGGCGAGGGAAGGAGGTGAGGGTTGAGTGTCTCCCGCCCATGCAGGTGATGTTCTGTACCCTCAACACCCACAAAGTGGACATGGACAAGCTCTTGGGAGGCCAGATCGGGCTGGAGGACTTCATCTTTGCCCACGTCAAGGGGCAGCGCAAGGAGGTGGAGGTGTTCAAGTCAGAGGAGGCGCTGGGGCTCACCATCACTGACAACGGGGCCGGCTATGCCTTCATCAAGGTGCTTGGGGTGCACGGGGCACCCGGAGTCCTGAGGGTAAGGATGGGCCATGGCATCCAAGGGCAGAGCCATGGGGGCTGACAGCTCCTCTCCCCACAGCGCATTAAGGAGGGAAGCGTGATTGACCACATCCAGCTCATCAGCGTGGGTGACATGATTGAGGCCATCAACGGGCAGAGTCTGCTGGGCTGCCGGCACTACGAGGTGGCCCGGCTGCTCAAGGAGCTGCCCCGAGGCCGCACCTTCACGCTCAAGCTCACAGAGCCCCGCAAGGCCTTTGGTGAGGGGGCTGCCTCCTGGACCACTGCTCTTCTCTTGGGTTCAGGCCACAGTGGCAGGGAGACACCAGCAGGTGGCACCCAAGGCCAGCCAGCTGCAGTAGAAGGGGTGGGGGTGGGGGGCTCCGCCTTGCCCTGGGGAGGGGGTGCTGGCTCTCCGCCCAGCCTGGGAGGAGGGTGAGGACAAGGAGGAAGTTGCCCCCACACCCAGCTTCCTGGAACCATTAGTCCAGCCAAGCGCCCCCAACCCTGGCGAGCCCCTCCAGTCCTGAGAAGCCAGGGTTGGCTGCCCTGTTCCTGCACCCCCACTTTTCCGTCTGACTTCACTAACTCTCTGGAATGGGCCTGAGGCCCCTGAGGTGGGGGTGGGGGACTCTCAAACACTTCCCCAGGCAGATAGGGCTGGTCTTTGGCCCAGCAGCTGGATCCCCTTGGCCTTGGGGAGAACAGCTCAAGACCCAGGCCCCACCCGCTTCCTGTCCCTCAGGCCCTGGGAACAGGGCCCCCTTCTGTCTCCCCTCCAGCCTTTTCCATTCTCAGCCCCTGGCTGTCCTTCCCCCATCCATGCCAAGCCGGAGTCAGGAGTCCTGCCCTCCCGGGGTCACCTCAGGCCCCGACTCCCCAGAGCCTGCAGAAACTTAGAGAAGGTAGAAGGGGGTATCTGAGGCCAGGCTGCCTGGGGTCCTGCCCAGGGCATGCTGGAATTGGGCTTCCCAGACCCTCACCCCTTCCCTGCCTCCCACAGACATGATCGGTGTACGCTCAGGGGGTGGCCGCCCTGGCTCTGGCCCCCAGCTGGGCACTGGCCGAGGGACCCTCCGGCTCAGATCCCGCGGCCCCGCCACAGTAGAGGATGTGGTGAGTGTTCTAGCCCGGCCCCAGCCCTCCTTCCCTGGGCATCCATAGGTGGCTGCATCCTCTGTTAGCTGAGGGGCTCTGGACACTAGATTCAAATCTACCTCCGCCACGTAGCAGCTCTGGGACCTCTGTTGGGTCGGCGGGCCTCAGTTTCCTTGTTTGTAAAGTAGGGGGATAGTAATACTGTCACAGGGCTGTGGTGAGGATGAGCTGTGGGTTAATACATGTAAAGTGGTGAAAAGAGCATCCCGCACTTAAGTACAATTACAAATATATTCACATTATTGTGATGTCATTGTCCCTCCTCCCACCCCGCCCTCCCCCCCCCCCCCCCCCCCCAGCCCTCAGCCTTTGAGGAGAAGGCGATTGAGAAGGTAGATGACCTGCTGGAGAGTTACATGGGCATCAGGGACACGGAGTTGGGTGAGTGGGGACGCCTGGATCTGGGGATGGGCGCGAGCCTTGGGGAAGGGGCTTCTGGGTCCTGTGGGGCTGGGTCTACCCTGAGTACCTCTGTCATCTGTGCTTCCATTCTGTGCCCCGCCCCCCACCCTTGTCCAGCGGCCACCATGGTGGAGCTTGGAAAGGACAAAAGGAACCCGGATGAGCTAGCCGAGGCCCTGGATGAACGGCTTGGTGACTTTGCCTTCCCTGATGAGTTCGTCTTTGACGTCTGGGGTGCCATTGGGGATGCCAAGGTCGGCCGCTTCTAGGCCCCCTTCCAGACCTCTCAGTGACCTGGCTCCGCTTGGTGGGAGCCCCCAGTGGGAGGGCCACCATGGCCTGGACCGCAGCATCCGGCTTGGACCTTGCTCAGCAGCCCAAGGACGATGCAGAGTGGAGGTGGGGCCGGGCCTCCGCCCCACTCCAATCGGTACCACCCCTCCCCAGCTCCCACCCTGGCTGGGGTCCCCGGTCCCCCCTTGCCCTGTTCCCCACCTACCTCAGCCGGGTCAGGCGCAGGGGGTGGGGGGGGAGGGACCAGCCAGATTGTGCGGCCACCCCCACCCCCAACACTTTCTGCATCAGCTGCCAAACTGGTCTCTCATCTCCCTGGGGCCTGTTTGGGGGTCCTGACCTCCCTAGTTTCCTGCTGCAGGGAATGCAGAAGGGGGGCATACCCCCCCTCAGCAAATGCAATAATGCCCTCCCCCCCCATGCCCCACCCAGAGAGGAGCCCCGTCACTTCGGAGTCTGTTACCTCCACGTTTGAAACACTAGTCTGCTGTGAACCCCCAACCTCCCTCCCTCCCCTGCTCTCTGTGTCGCCCTCAGCCCAGCCCCAGACAGAAGGGGCAAGAGGGACGATGGCGGTGGGCTTTTGTATCTGAATTGCTGTCTTGAACATAAAGAATCTATCTGCTGTTGGACCTGTGTGGTGACTTCAGCTTTGGGGTGGGAGAAGGGGGTGAGCCAAGGCTGGGAAAGAATGTAGCAGCTGAAATCCATCCTCCTCGGGCTCCAGATTGAATTAGGAGCCTGGCTGGGCCACCCGCCCCCCCCCCCCCCCCCCCCCCGCCCCAACCCGTTCCGCTTGATGAGGTTTCTGGCTGTGGGCCACCAGGCTTCCAGTCAAAGGCCGGAGCTTCCTGGCCTACTGAGGTTCAAATCTTGCTCCCTCTCGAACAAGGCCTCCCGCCACCTCAAGCCTGATGTGAACAGTGGGCACCAGGCTGTTGCAGCCCAGGGCCATAGGGGACAACACCAGGGCCAGAAGATGCGGAAGCCTGGCTTGCGAAAAGAAAGACGGGGGGCCCAAGATGGAGGCCTGCCAGGGCAAATGCCGTGGGGAGGAGCCCTGCCCCCGAGCCGGAGGGGAGCAGTCATGATGTGGCCCCCGTTCCTGCTGACTGTGGATGCGGGGGGTCCGCTGGCGTCCATGGCGCACCATGGTTTGCACTGGACATAAACCCAGCGTGCTTGTTTTGACAACCCACTTCATCCTCGAGGATTGAGTGGGGATCAGGGAAGGGGGGCTGGGACCCTGGCCAGACCTGGAGGGAAGGGCAGGAATTGAAGCAAGGGGAGCCAGGCCAGAGGTCCCTGCAGGAATGTCTGGGGTCAGCCCGCTCCCCGTTTTCATCGCTCCTTTCAACAGGAGGACGCTGGGCCTGCCTGGGAGAGGGGAGCTGGGGGCCCTGGCAGGGCGCGGGGTGTGTGCGCAGGCCGCGGTTGTGTTCTTGGGGTGGGATGGAGACAGCTGTTGTTGGGGTCCCTCTCAACATCCCTGGGCACCCACGGGTGCCTCCTGTGTCTGTGCTGGTAAACTGCTCAGGTCGCGAAGGGGTGCGGCGGTGTGTCTCCGTGTTGAGACGGTAAGACTGTCTATCAGAGTGTTGGTGGTTTTTGACTCCATTGAGGGAACGGGATGTAATGACTGTCTTTGTGTTCCACGGTGTTTGTGGGGGTAACCGGCAGCACCCCTGTGTGGAGTGTGGCCGTGTAGGTGCAGCTCGGGGGGTGTCCAAGGCTGTGAGTGTGAGTGTCTCCGGGTGTTTTCTGTTTGTGGGCTAGGTGTTGACCAGCTGGGTCTCAAGATGTCCAGGAGGTGCGACTCCTTGTGCCGTGGGTGTATGGAGTGCATTCGCGGGGCCTGTCTTGGACTGTTGGGGGGTGTCTGTGGGTGATACAGAGTGGGGCTGGTGGGCTGTCTCAGAGGGAGGGATGGTGTGTGCGTCTCGGTGCTGGGCGAGACCGGATCTCCCAGCGCCTTCTCGGGGGGGATGCATTTCGGCGTGTTGAGAGAAGTTAAAGGCAGTAACAATAGGGGCACCTGTGGGGGTCCTGGAGGTGACAGTCACAGTGCGTTCATGGGTATGACGAAGGCTGACCCTAAAGCTTTGAGGAGCGTGGCTGCCGCTGTGCTGGGGACAGACTGACGGCATCTGGTCGTAGGGTGTTAAGAGGCATGACGGTGTGTGTCTTAGAAGGTGAGAGTGTGTGCGTGCGCCCCTGCTTCTCAGGGCAGGACGTGAGGCTGCAGTTGTGTGTCCACAGGTGGCTTGGGACTCGTGTGTCTCAAGAGAGAGTCCCCTGGTCACCAGGCCTCTTGGTTCCCCTGCCCCCCTTCAGCCTCCTCCCCTGCCCCTCCCAGGGTATGACTCGCTGCTGGCCCTGGCCTGAGCTTTAAGCCCCTGTGTAAATAATGGGCGGGTCTCCTGGCCAAGCTGGGCCTGACCCAAGCTGGTCCACACGAGGCACTGCCCACCACCACCCCCGAACCAACATCCATGAAGGCTTTGGTAGGGCGAGAGGGTGTTGCTGCCCCCAAGCAGGGTTAGCCCCCCAAGCTCGCAGTCCCCATGCGGGCAGTGGCACCCCCTGCAGCCGCCCCAGCTTGCCCTGGGCGATGTTCACATTTTCCAGTGTTTAGATTTTATCCACTTTATTAATGAGGCAGGCGAAAGGCCCGCGCCTGGGGGGAAAGGGGGGGGGAAGAGGGCTACTTCCGCCCCGCTAGTGGGAGGGGGTCATGGGGAACCAGGCCAACTCCCCGGGAGACCCCTTCCTGGTGGGGCAGCTGGGGTCCAGTGTAGCCCCTGCCCATTGCCAGGAGCACAGAGGGGTCTCTGCCACCCCAGGCCCCCTCTGGGTGCGAGATGGCTGGAGCAGGCCCTGGAGGCCAGAGCGGGCAGCGGGAGGAGGCAGGGAGCTGAGGAGCCGCCCCAAGAGGGAGGGAGAGGGAGCGGCCTGGCCTGCCGGAGAGCTCTGGTGGAGCGGGCGCGGGTGCAACAGGCAGCGGGGGCCAAGCAGCAGGCGATGGGGACCTGGAGTCCCAAGCTGTGTGGGTAAGAAGACTGGGGCATGAGGATGTCTGGTGGGGGAGGAGGGTTTGGAAGGACGGGGCCGTGGCTAGTTCAGTCTCTGCGTCCTGTGTTCTTGACTCTCATCCCCATCTGTCTGTCCCTGTCAGTCTTACTGTCTATCTGCCTTTCCCATGTGGCCAGCAGGCAGTTCTGCCCTCTCAGCCCTCACCTCCAGGTTATCGAGGGATGGGTGGTGCTGGGTCCGCCTTGAGGCCTTTGGGGCAGGGACCTGGAGCTGGCAGGAATGGGAGCCCGGGGGGCATCCACGGTAAGGCAGCTGTGGTCAGGGGAGAGCCAGGGTGAGACAGTGACAGAACTCAGAGATGGGAGTGTGGGGGGCAGGGACGGTGGGGACAGACATGTAGCTGTGGGGAAAAGGACAGTGCGGTGGAGAGAGATGTCCCCGTGGTGGCAGAGGTGGGGCTGTGAGCATCAAACATGGGACTGGAGAAAAGGTGACATGTGATGGTCAGAGATGGGGCAGTGAGGTCAGGTGGGGCCCTGCCGATCAGAAATGGGACAGGGGGTGTCAGATGGAGCCAGGGGCGAGGAATTCGCTGTGGTGCAATAATGAGAGGTGGGTGTCAGAGGTAGATCCGTGACGCCCACAGGTGGGGACTGACACGGAAGGCCGGAGCCCGGGGAACCAAGGTGGACAGAGAAGGTGGTGAGGGCAAGAATGAGGCCTGGAGCAGGAGCTGATGGGCTGATGAGGCAGAGGAGAAAGCGGTCGGGAATGGGGCAGCCAGGGTCCTTTGGAGTTGCCGCGGGCAGAGGCGACAGAAGAATGCCATGGCATCCAACGGGGCCTGATGACCCGAGGTGGCGCTGCCTGCTAGTCCCATGGGGGTGGTGGGCAGTGTGCTCCCGGCCCGCCTCACGGAGCCCTCCTCTCCTCTCCTCTCCCCAGCCCCAACCCCAGCACCTGACATGAGTCCCTGCGGGCCCCTCAACCTGAGCCTGGCGGGCGAGGCGACCACGTGCGCGGAGCCCGGGCCTCCCAACGCGTCGGCCGCGCCGCCCCCCGGCCGGCCGGGCACCTCGCCGGCGCTGCCCATCTTCTCCATGACCCTGGGCTCCGTGTCCAACGTGCTGGCGCTGGCGCTGCTGGCGCAGGCCGCGGGCCGCCTGCGGCGCCGCCGCTCGGCCGCCACCTTCCTGCTGTTCGTCGCCAGCCTTCTGGCCACTGACCTGGCGGGCCACGTCATCCCGGGGGCGCTGGTGCTGCGCCTGTACGCGGCGGGCCGCCCGCCGGCCGGCGGCGCCTGCCACTTCCTGGGCGGCTGCATGGTCTTCTTCGGCCTGTGCCCGCTGCTGCTGGGCTGCGGCATGGCCGTGGAGCGCTGCGTGGGCGTCACGCGGCCGCTGCTGCACGCGGCGCGCGTCTCGGCGGCCCGCGCGCGCCTGGTGCTGGCCGCGCTGGCCGCCGTGGCCTTGGCGGTGGCGCTGCTGCCGCTGGCGCGCGTGGGCCGCTACGAGCTGCAGTACCCGGGCACGTGGTGCTTCATCGGCCTGGGCCCCGCGGGCGGCTGGCGCCAGGCGCTGCTCGCCGGCCTCTTCGCCGGCCTCGGCCTGGCCGCGCTGCTCGCCGCGCTCGTCTGCAACACGCTCAGCGGCCTGGCCTTGCTGCGCGCCCGCTGGCGCCGCCGCTCGCGACGGCGTCCTTCGGCGAGTGGCCCCGACGGCCGCCGTCGCTGGGGGGCGCGCGCGCCCCGCTCGGCCTCAGCCTCGTCCTCCTCGTCCGTCGCTTCGGTCCCCGGCGGCTCCCCGGGCCGTGGCTCAGCGCGCAGAGCCCGCGCTCACGATGTGGAGATGGTGGGCCAGCTCGTGGGCATCATGGTGGTGTCGTGCATCTGCTGGAGCCCGCTGCTGGTGAGGGGCGCACACGCCCCTCGGGCCGGGCTCCTCCCTGCCCCCCTCCTTGGCCCCTCCCACCCTTTTCCCTCCTGAGACACCTGGGTTCCCTCCCTTCCCCAGCCGGGGCCCCACCCCCTCGAGGCCCCACCAGTCAGGAGAGACAGCCCTTTGGCCTCTCTCTCTGACATCCCATCCCCTCCACCCCGTCCCCTGCTCTTATCCCACCTGGGGTCTTTGTAGTTCACGCTACCCAGGCAACCTTCCTCCCAGCCCCACTCCTCTAGACCCGGATGCTTCATTCCCTAGCCCTTTCCACCAGCACCCCGCCCCGTTTCTCTTCTCCCCTTGGTCCCCAGTCCTTCAGGATACCTGGGACTTCTCTCCCTTTTTGCTGGAGCCCCCACTCACGGAAGGCCTTTGCTTCTGCCACGCCTTCTTCGCCCCTCCTTCCGTAGTTCGTTCTGACGAAGACTTCTGAGTCTCCCCCCCCCCACCCCGCCTCCGCCGTGAGCCTCTGCTCCTCCTCACAGCTCCCTTGGCCTCCCGCCACGCTCGCATCCATCCCAGCCCCACCCTTGGCCAGTCCCCTTCTCTTTACACCTGCCCCACCGCTCACACCGGCTTCTCCCGCAGGTGTTAGTGGTGCTGGCCGTCGGGGGCTGGGGCTCCAGCTCCCTGCAGCGGCCGCTGTTTTTGGCTGTGCG